TGGGGATAAAAAACAATACCTTGAGGTGATGGGGTTGTTTCCATAACAAAGATGATTTGAGTCTCAGCACCATCAAGCATTATCCAATCACGAACCTCGATAACTTCAGTTTGTAAAGCAAGATGAAGGCGATCACAAGTGATGCTGCCTTAAGCTTTGATGTGGAGTTTTCATCCTGGGTTGTAATGGGTTGTCATGAGGCCATCCGATGAGCAAGGTTTTCCGTTAAACAAATACCTGACTTTACCTTTTTCATTGTATCATACCTTGTCCACTGCTGAGGAAGAAAAACAAGATCCCAACAAGAACTTTGCTGTACGTGATGGCTTGCTAGCTCTTTGTAGATCCAATAAGTCTTTGATCGAAGCTCCCACATTCCTATGCCACCTAGGCCAAAGACCTCTACCCAAGCCTGGAGCTGAACAGTCACCTATATACTGTTGAGTACTGTTCTTATGCGCTACGTTGAAGAACAAGTGATCAGCTAATGCCTCTGTCAGATGGTCTGGTTCTTTCTGACTTAACCTGGGTAGGAGTGACTTCCATATCTTCAACATCTCTTTTGCTCTTCCATCCTGGACCTTCTTTGTGTTGAGAGGAGCAGTGCCAATCCATTCCTTGTTTCTAGTTACCACCCTGTCTAGGCAAGATCTTCTACAGCTGAGCGAAGAGGAGGTGCCAGCTCTGGTTTCGTGGATATAAACCTGACACAAGAACTTTGAAGAGAAGAGCTTTGGATTGAATTCCTGGGTGTGGCACATTCCGAATAACTGAATTCCACTCTACTTTTGCCCGGACTTTGCACCCGCTGGAGTTTCTAAAGTTTCTACATATGTTGTTGGTGATCAAGTTTTGGTGAATTATCGGGTGTTGCGGATCCAAGGTTTTGCTGCGTAGGTCCTTATCACATCGTCCAACAAGTTAGTCCACAAATCTATGTGGTGACACTCAATGCACAATGTCAAGAGAAGATCCATGTGAAGCGGTTAGCTCGATATTGTGTGTGAACGGATTGATGTAAGGATTCTACCATATATTATAAGATTGGAATGCACTAACTTTATAATAATAATAAATTAACAATTTTTAATGTGTATTTATGGAGCCCACAAGAGTAGGAGTGAGGTGTTATCATATTATGAATCCCACAAGATCAAGAGTGAGAGGTGTTAATCACATTATTTATATGCTCCATATGATCCTGAGGTTTAGGGATATGAGGGAGTAAGTTTTATGGCCCAGGAAGGAAAAAAAAAGAATTAATTAGAGTGAAAATGCGAGTTATCGTGAAATTAGAGAGTTAAGAGTTAACACGAGCTAAGAGTAAAAACGTGATGTAGCAGCTTAAAAGAGGGAATCGGATGGAGTTCCACCAGGTAGAAAAGACAAGTCATAAAGCCTCGGATTGCTCCCAACCCCCTGCCTCCACCCGGTTGCCTACTTTAACCAAGCCCCGAACCACCCAGCAGTCTTGGCGCACAGGGATGACATCAGCCCTAACCTCCTGCTCCACCGCTCCTACTTCTGAGCTGCTACCAGCTTCTTCCCCCCTTAAGAAAAAAGGTCTGTTGTTCTCTTGGAGTTCAAGAGGCATCCTCTTCACCGTCTCCTCTGTTTTTGCTAGCTAGTTAGCTCTTACAAGAAGGAGCACAAGCCAAGTTCAGCTCCATGCTCAGCTCTATCATCTCCTCTTTAAGACACCTCACCTCTTTGAAGCCATTCAGGAGAGCTAGCACGCTTCACGTATAGACGTCCCCCCCCCCCCCTTTTCTTTTTTGCGATTGTCTCTTCAAACTCATCATACTTATTTAACACACCAAACCTTACCAAGCCGAGTGCAGGTTTTGAAACCCCATGAGTCACCTTGGCCTTTTTCCATCTTCCAGTTGAGCTCTCCAACAATCTTGACGTGCGGATGCGTGCAAACTGCTCCTTGAGCCAGGACCATTTCTCCAGGAGATAACTTATGCTACAACACTCTCCACTCGACGATCTCAATGTGGAAAGATCCACAAAGCTGTCCCACTCATCATAGTTGTAGAAGAAATCATCCTCATACTGCATCTGCAACCTTGCTTGAGCCCAAGCCTCTGCCATCGCAGGCTTCTCCCTCATCTTGATCAGCTCACACTTGAGGCGGCAAAACAAGTCCAGGTCCTGAGGAACAACAATGGAATACACCTTCTCAGGTACCTGTCTCGAAACCTGTGAAAGCACAGTGGACGATGTGGTGTTTCAGATTGCAGCAGAATGATAACTTGATGGAAGCAACAAAACCATCGAGCTCGCTCTTTGGGGATCAATTATCATCTCCTCCTTTGAAGCAATGAGCAGCAGGCCTTGATCGCATCCAGAAGTACTAGAGATAGTCTGCAAAAGCAAGTTTGACACCAGTTATTTTGGCAACACAGAAGAAAAAGAAGAAAAATAAACTCAAGTTTCAAAATTTATAGAGATCCATACAATCCAAATCAAGATCAATCCTCCACGAACTTAATGCCGCTTTCAGCACCTCCAAGCTCTGCCGAAAAACGTAGCCACGGTATGCCACAATCGTTCGCTTGAAAATCTGAAGATGCCAATCGAAGCATGCAAGCAAAAACATGAAGTAAAGAAGCGCAGGTGGACAACAAAGGAGATGAACTGAGCGAGGCCAAGAACACATATAAGGACTGAATGGAAGCACGTGAGGCCTCGCGCGGTTTTTTCCTCCATGTGTGGCTTCGGTAAGGTATGTTGCGGAGCAGCCAGAAACCCAGGGTGAATATAAGTACGTGAGGCCTTGTGAGGTTTTACCACTGCCCGAGGACTCCTGTGCATGGGCCCCGGGTGAGAGTCATTTGCGAAAGTGTTCTGCATGAAACTGGTGCCCTGAGGCTTCTGGCCGCGTCGCCCCATGAAGAGCATTTTTTATTTAATTTGTGTAGAGTGTGGTTTATTTTTGTATATTGAGTGTATCGATATCTTTTAGTTAGCAGATTATATTGAAGAACTGAAGACTACCTACAGTTAAGTGCATGCAGCAACAGATTTTCTGGTGGGACAACAAGTTCAAGAAGAAAAAAAAGTTCTTCTCAGAGTCCTACCCGGATTTCAAACATGTTTCTACCGGAGAGAGGGATCGCCAACAGGAAAACACCAACCTGGGTCTCTGCAAAACTCGAGTCGCTCGCTGACCCAGCTGCACCACGGCCCGCTACAAATCTCCACATACCCCACCTGTAGCTGGTGATGAACCGGTGAGTTTAGGGAGGCCGCGTGAGAGACTCAGCTGAGAGCAGATCCCTTTCTTTGGGAAAACAAGCCCATGACGCTGTGCTCAAGAGTGATGAGCACAAAAGCAACATCTACTTGTTGACGGGATTGATCGATATGTACTGCAAGTGTGGCGAGCTTGAGGAGGCTCGCAAGATTTTCCACTCCATGGGAACTCGGAGTGTTGTCTCCTACACTGCGATCATCCAGGGCTGCAACACGAACGGGCAAGCTGAACTTGCTCTGGAGTACTACTCTGCCCTGAGAGCTGATAACACCATTCAAGCTAATGCTTGCACCTCCACCTGTGTCCTTGTTGCTTGCGGGAGTGTGATGGCGATCAAGCTCGGGAGGGAGATTCACCAGCTGGCGAAGCATAAAGAACTGCTGAAAAACAATCCAGTTCTGGGCTCCAGCCTGGTGAGCTTCTACGGCAAATGCGGCAATGTTGATTCTGCTCAGGAAGCGTTTGACGAGTGCCGAGCTCGGGACAACACGGGTCTCTGGAACTCTCTCATACAGGCTTACACTCTCCAGGGCCGATCGATCGAGGCCTTGGAGCGTTTCTATTCCATGACTCAGGAGGAGGGCTGTAAAGCTGACGATGTGAGTTTTGTCTCGGTGTTGAACGCTTGCAGCCATGGTGGTCTGGTCGGGAAAGGAAGGCTGCTTCTGGATGAAATGCCCAAGCAGTATGGAGTCAAGCCACGTCTGGAGCATTATGTGTGCCTGATCGATATGCTCGGGCGAGCTAACCTCCTCGACGAAGCTGTGAGAGTTCTCAGAGCCATGCCTTTTGAACCGGATGCAGTGGTTTGGACGTCCCTGCTTGGAGCCTGCTGGAAGTGGAAGAATTACACGATCGGCAAACTCGCGTTTGAGTGTCTTGTGGAGATGGATCCCAAGAGCGGCACGCCCTACGCATTGATGGCCAATATATTTGGAAACCTGGGGATGCTCAGTGAAAGGGCTGCTGTTGTGGAGAGAATGAGAGGTGAAGGCAGCTTCAGGAGCCCGGGAGAAGCTGGTGGACGGATGTTAGCTCTCTTTCTCTTCCTCGGGTATGTCTTTTAGAACGTTGATCACATCGCTCATGTACCCTGCTCTTTCATTCTCAGCAACAATTGCTTGAGCTTGGCCGCAATCTCGTCGCTCTGTGAGTGACTCCTATCCCTGACAGAAAAAGAATGCACTTTTCCTGGATCACCTGTGCGGCCACGGTGAGAAGCTTGTGCTGGGGTGTGCTCTGGTGAAGTCACACCAGAAGGAGACCATCAGAATTGTGAGAAATCTCCAAGTTTGTGACAATTGCCATGCGGCCACTGCTCTCATCTCTAAGCTGGAAAAAAAGGCTAATCATCTGCAAAGGGTTCATGTGTTCCAGGATGGCAGATGTTCCTGTGACAACTACTTTTGAAAACATGTCAGTGCTCTTTCTTGCAGTTATCCCTGGTTTTAAACCCTCTGTGAGTCAAGCAGAAACATGGGCCGCTGAGTGAGCATGCCTCGTCAAAGTACCGCCACCAACCTGAACTTCACGGAGAAAAAATTAACATTTAAAAGTTAAAACTATGCAAAAGGAGGATGACACATTGTCTTAAATTTAAATTTCTTTTTGGTAGCAGAATCGGGGAATGCTGACTAAACCTGCCAACAGGTGCCCCAAAACGGAGCGCCCAGATTCAAATAATAAGCCTTAGTATGAAGACTTGCCAGTACCCAAACTCTTTGCTGATAGCAAGTACCGCCTCATGTTCCGGGAGCAAGGTGATGGTGGCTTGCGGCATGACCAACTTTGGGTTTGTGCTCCTAGAGCACGTTGAAGACGTGTGGAAGCTGGTGATGACGGCATTTGTTTCTTGCGACGTACTCACCAGTTCCTCGGCAACGTCTTCCTTCCAGATTTTTTGAGCTTGTCATGAGTGGTGACCTGCTTGCTCTCTCCTGTGACGACTTCTTCCAGCCTCTGGTGCCCAACCTCAAGGCTCTCTTCTGGATGGAGCTAGCCCTACACAGTGTGTGTGTGTGTATCAACCAGCAGATGCACAAATTGTTGAGAATTAGCAACAAGTGTGTATCATAGGCTTAGTACATAGTGTACTAGTGTATATGTACATGTGTTTCAGCTAAATATAATGGGCCAAATACACCAAAGAAGTTTGTATAAGAAGAGTAGAAACAAATTAAGAAATGTATATTAAGAAGTGCAAAAGAAATGAAAATAAAAATTATCCATCCTCATCAGTTTGCTGAAATTAAGTTGGATTCAACTCTTCTAGCTCCAAATATTGTGTGATTGAGTTGTAAGTTAATTAATAGTAGAAAATATGATAAAAAACAAACATTGAAAAAATAGTATTATGAGTGCTTGGAATATGGAAAGGAATATAGAAAATGTACATATCAATTAGCCTAAAAACCCTAGCTTATATACAAGAGTGAGTGATCCGAATTGAAACCAATCCGACAGCTATCAAAATCTTACTATACTAATATTCATATATGGCATCATAGCTATAAATTTGGCCTTCACATCATTTCCTCCTCTCAGAATAACGGAAGACCATTAGGGTTCTTTTATAAATGGGTTGGGATCTGGAGGAATATCAGGAGAAGGCATTGGCGGATCTGTAGGTGGTATTATCTCCTCCTAATCCCTTTGTATGAAGCGTTTCAACTGCTGCATATGCACAATCTCTGGAGGATTGGCCTACTGGACGTTATGCCGAACCTCATAAACTTGTGGTCCCACTTGCCACAACACCTGATACGGTCCTTTCCACTAAGCAAGGAGCCCTTGAGATAAACCATATACCGTAAGGTGGGGAAAACAGACCAACACCAAGTCATTAACTGAAAAGGTCCTATAAGATCAAATGCCACTAACTTAAATGGACGGGAAACTGAAATTGACTCCAACCATCCTTTCGCAGCACGAGGGGGAGTATTACGAGCTTGGCACCAAACGCAACTACACACATACCAGATAATACCACATCGCATCTTTGACCAATAGAAAGACCTATGTAGCTTCTCGGTTACACGACAATGTCCCATATGCCCACCTATAATAGAAGAATTATGGTAGGCATGGAGAAACCACGGAATAAAGACAGAAGGCACCACCAGCTGTAAATGATCATCAGGATCAGTCCCTACAAAATAAAAAAGGCCATCTTCAAGGTGATATTGAGAATGTAAATGCCAGAAAGGCAAGTCATCAACAAGTGATGTAAGATTCTCAAACTCATCTTGAAGCTTTTGAATCCACGGCTCAATCTTTTGAGCCTTGAAAACCTCATCAAAAGAAGGCAGATCTTGGAGTAGGAGTGAGGTGTTATCATATTATGAATCCAACAAGATCAAGAATGAGAGGTGTTAATCACATTATTTATATGCTCCATATGACCCTGACGTTTAGGGATATGAGGGAGTCAGCTAAGTTAGAGGAAGGGAAAAAAAGAATTAATTAGAGTGATTGAGTTAAGAGTTCACACGAGCTAAGAGTAAAAACGTGATGTAGCAGCTTAAAAGAGGGAAGTAGGAATGCTCGGATGGAGTTCCACCAGGTAGAAAAGACAAGTCATACCTCAAGCCTTGGATTGCTCCCACCCTGCCTCCACCCGGTTGCCTACTTTAACCAAGCCCCGAACCACCCAGCAGTCTTGGCGCACAGGGATGACATCAGCCCTAACCTCTTGCTCCACTGCTCCTACTTCTGAGCTGCTAGCAGCTTCTCCCCTCCTTAAAAAAAAAAGGTCTGTTGTTCTCTTGGAGTTCAAGAGGCATCCTCTTCACCATCTCCTCTGTTTTTGCTAGCTAGTTAGCTCTTACAAGAAGGAGCACAAGCCAAGTTCAGCTTCATGCTCAGCTCTATCATCTCCTCTTTAAGACAACTCACCTCTTTGAAGACATTCAGGAGAGCTAGCACGCTTCACGTCTAGACGTGCCGCCGCGCCCCCCCCCCCCCCCCTTCTTTTTTTTTTTGCGATTGTCTCTTGAAACTCATCATACTTATTTAACTCACCAAACCTTACCAGATCGCAGCGGAATGATAACTTGATGAAAGCAACAAAACCATCAAGCTCGCTCTTTGGGGATCAATTATCATCTCCTCCTTTGAAGCAATGAGCAGCAGGCCTTGATCGCATCCAGAAGTACTAGAGATAGTCTGCAAAAGCAAGTTTGACACCAGTTATTTTGGCAACACAGAAGAAAAAGAAGAAAAATAAACTCAAGTTTCAAAATTTATAGAGATCCATACAATCCAAATCAAGATCAATCCTCCATGAACTTAATGCTGCTTTCGGCACCTCCAAGCTCTGCCGAAAAACGTAGCCACGGTATGCCACAATCGTTCGCTTGAAAATCTGAAGATGTCAATCGAAGCATGCAAGCAAAAACATGAAGTAAAGAAGCACAGGTGGACAACAAAGGAGATGAACTGAGTGAGGCCAAGAACACATATAAGGACTGAATGTAAGCACGTGAGGCCTCGTGTGGTTTTTTCCTCCGTGCGTGGCTTCATGTGCGAAGAGTTTGGTGTGGTAAGGTATGTTGTGGAGCAGCCAGAAGCCCAGGGTGAATATAAGTACGTGAGGCCTTGTGAGGTTTTACCACCGCCCAAGGACTCCTGTGCATGGGCCCGGACGAGAGTCATTTGCGAAAGTGTTCTGCATGAAACTGGTGCCCTGAGGCTTCTGGCCGAAGAGCATTTTTTATTTAATTTGTGTAGAGTGTGGTTTATTTTTGCATATTGAGTGTATCGATATCTTTTAGTTAGCAGATTATATTGAAGAACTGAAGACAAGTGCATGCAGCAACAGATCATATAAAAAATGAATGCAGAGAATAACAAATCGGGATTTCTAGGAAGTTCGTGCGTTTTGTTAGTAATAATAATAATAATCACAAAAACCTGATGTTCAGCCAGTTAGAAGATTGTCTGAAAATTATGCATGTACTGATTCTTCAGCTCTTGAGCAACTGATTGCTGCTGGCTCACTTTCTATATATATCAAAGAGATTATTTTTTAACAATAAACATCTAAGCTAGTTAAGCTGACATTGTAAAGTTTAAAAAGGAAAAGAATTAGAAAAAGAAAAAACAGAAAACACGAGCTTTTTACTACTACAGTTAAGTAATAACAAATCGGGATTTCTAGGGTATGCGTGCGGCGCTAGGGTTTGTGTGGTGTCTGTCATTTCTCAACAATCTCATGGAGTGGAAAACGTTTTTCAGGGATCCCACTTTCTGGTGGGACAACAGGTTCAAGAAGAAAAACAAGTTCTTCTCAGAGTCCTACCCGGATTTCAAACATGTTTCTACCGGAGAGAGCCTGTGGATCGCCAACAGGAAAACACCAACCTGGGTCTGTGCAAAACTCGAGTCGCTCGCTGACCCAGCTGTAGGTAAGGCCACCACCGCCCGCTACAAATCTCCACATACACCGGTGAGTTTAGGGAGACTGATACACCGCGTGAGAGACTCAGCCAAGAGCAGATCCCTTTCTTTGGGAAAACAAGCCCATGAAGCTGTGCTCAAGAGTGATGAGCACAAAAGCAACATCTACTTGTTGACGGGATTGATCAATATGTACTGCAAGTGTGGCGAGCTTGAGGAGGCTCGCAAGATTTTCGACTCCATGGGAACCCGGAGTGTTGTGTCCTACAACGCGATCATCCAGGGCTGCGGCTCGAACGGGCAAGCTGAACTTGCTCTGGAGTACTACTCTGCCCTGAGAGCTTGTACCACCATTCAACCCAACGATCGGACACATGTCGCGGTGATCAGCGCCTGCTCCAGACTTGCTACCGAATCCAGCGAGAAGAGGAAGAGAGCTTTACGCATCGGGATGGAGATCCATTCAATGCTGAGCAAGGAGAAGAAACAGGTAGATCTGTTCGTGGCGACTTGCCTGGTAGACATGTACTGCAAGTGTGGCGAGCTTGAGGAGGCTCGCAAGATTTTCGACTCCATGGGAACCCGGAGTGTTGTGTCCTACAACGCGATCATCCAGGGCTGCGGCTCGAACGGGCAAGCTGAACTTGCTCTGGAGTACTACTCTACCCTGAGAGCTTGTACCACCATTCAACCCAACGATCGGACTCATGTCGCGGTGATCAGCGCCTGCTCCACACTTGCTACCGAATCCAGCGAGAAGAGGGAGAGAGCTCTACTCATTGGGATGGAGATCCATTCAATGCTGAGCAAGGAGAAGAAACAGGTGGATCTGTTCGTGGCGACTTGCCTGGTAGACATGTACTGCAAGTGTGGCGAACTTGAGGAGGCTCGCAAGATTTTCGACTCCATGGGAACCCGGAGTGTTGTGTCCTACAACGCGATCATCCAGGGCTGCGGCTCGAACGGGCAAGCTGAACTTGCTCTGGAGTACTACTCTACCCTGAGAGTTTGTACCACCATTCAACCCAACGATCGGACTCATGTCGCGGTGATCAGCGCCTGCTCCACACTTGCTACCGAATCCAGCGAGAAGAG